TAATATAGCGAAGTCATTAAAGTTACACAGCTGAGCTGTATCTTTATTACTGTACTACCGGTATAGCAAAGCCTAGCTATCATAGATTTTAGATCTGTATTAGTAGTATCCTAGATATATGCTCTGAGCGCGAACGCGGTGATGGGAGGGTGCTCTTCATTCGTTTGCCAGTGAGTTTAGCATCAGAACACCTGCCGTCAGGTGAGCGCTGTCGCTCTGCGGCACTTGTTACCTTTACCAGTTCTCTAATCGTCTCAATATCCGCCACCTCCAGCTTTCTCTCCTGGCTTTGTTGTATAGGCCAGCATCAGGCACCATACAGCATTGCAGGCCTGACCACTCTTATAAATCTTTTCCTTCAGTCTGGCAGAGATTCGTTTATCGCATAGTGTTCCTGATGTCTTCCTCCAGTTGTTCCAACCCATCTTGATTCTTGCGTTAATTTCCCTATCTAGCTCACATTCTTTATCTATTGTCGAGCCCAGGTATTTGAAGCAGGCGACTTTGTTCAAAACTTCCTATCGCAGTGCTACATTCTGTTCTTCTTCTCCTGGTCCACATCTCATGTACTCTGTTTTCTTTCGACTGATCCTCAGCTCTCCTTCCTCCAATGCTCTCCTCCACTTTTCTAGCTCCTCTAGTTCCTCTCCGGTTTCAGCACACATATGACAATATCATCTGCGAACAACATTGTCCATGGTGCTTCTTCCCTAACCTCCTCCGTCAGTACATCCATTACTATATTGAAGAGGAAGGGTCTAAGCGCTGATCCCTGATGTAATCCTACCTTCACTTGAAACTTCTCTGTTGTCCCCACCGGTGTTCTTATTTCTGTTGATATGTTCCTGTAGACATCCTGTACCAGCCTGATGTATTTCGCGGGTACTCCCCTCTTTCTCAGGCTCCTCCATATCTTTTCCCCTGGGATCCTGCCGTAGGCCTTCTCTAAGTCTGTAAACGCTAAGTGTAGAGTCTTCTGACCCGCCCTGTAATTTTTTATCTAATGTCGCAGGGCAAACAGCATATATTGTGCCCGTTTACGCATGCATGCATCTATCTATCTATCTATCTATCTATTTATCTGTCTGTCTATCTATCTATCTATCTATCTATTTATATATCTATTATTCGTTCTTTCGTTATGCTGCTCCTCCAACTATACCTCCCTCTCTCGCTTTCTCCCGCCAGCACCGCGCCCGCGCCGCCAGTGCCGATTTGATTCGTCGCAATTTAAAATTCTAATTAAATCGAATTAACTGTGATTGGTGCGCGCGCGGATTGTGTAATAACTAAGCGGCGGGGAATTATAAGCAGACAAAAAAACGCTGGCCGCCGAGATTAAAAATTAATCTTAAATTTCCAGCGGGTCGAGTGCGGTCTATGCGTACAGCACGGCCCTGGCGCTAAGCGAAATGCGTAACCGTAAGCGGGAGTGAGGCAAATGAGGTTCGCGTAAGGTTCGTGAAATAAGTGCATGTGTGTGTGAGAGAGAGAGAGCCAGCGAGCGAGGGAGAGAGAGACAGAGAAATAGAGCGAGGGAGAGGGAGACAGAGAAATAGAGCGAGGGAGAGAGAGACAGAGAAATAGAGCGAGGGAGAGAGAGACAGAGAAATAGAGCGAGGGAAAGAAAGACAGAGAAATAGAGCGAGGGAGAGAGAGACAGAGAAATAGAGTGAGGGAGAGAGAGACAGAGAAATAGAGCGAGGGAGAGAGAGACAGAGAAATAGAGCGAGGGAGAGAGAGACAGAGAAATAGAGCGAGGGAGAGAGAGAGAGTGCGAGGAAGAGAGAGCGAGAGAGAGAGAGAAAGAGAAAAAGAGCGAGGGAGAGAGAGACAGAGAGATAGAGCGAGAGCGAGAGAGCGCGCGCGAGGAAGAGAGAGAGAACGAGAGAGAGAGAGCGCGCGCGGAGGGGAGAGAGAGAGAGAGAGAGAGAGAGGGGGAGCGGGTGAGAGAGCGAGCGAGAAAGCAAGAGAGCGCGCA